GTGGAGATCATGTTAAATGAAAAAATGTGTTTCTTTTAAATGTTAGCATCATACTGTGTGGTGAGATACAGTCTGAGAGCCACGTGGGCACTGAGACCAGCTGAGGGCCGAGCAGATTGACTGAAGTGACAGGCAGGATTGTCCATGCTGTTTAAACTCTTCTTTCTCTCTTGCTATGTACATATTTGCCATGTTGTTATCAGTGCATTTGGATAAGCTGGATGCTCATATGGAGCAACTCCACTTTTTGTTCCAGAGAGGGAGAGGGAGGGAGGAATGTTGAGAGAGCAATGTGTTTGTAATTTGTGGTTTGCCTGTGTTGTTTCTTTTAGTTGGGGCTTTCAACTTTTCTTATATTATTGCTTGAAATCTTTATATTCTTTGCCTTCATGAGAACAGACAAACGCTTTGGTATGGCTACATTTTTCATTGTATCTGATATGCATGTGTGTGTGATATTTCATTGATTTAGAACTCTATATTTGTATCATGTTTTAGATTTTACAAATTGTCACATGTGTTTGTTGCTTAGCGGTGAAACAGCTTCATTAGGTCAACGGGACAGATTTTTGTTTACTTTACAAAGATTCAAAGTTAAGCTACTTGTCCAGTATCATAGTCCTGTGATCTTTTCATACCATATTGTTCATCCAAAATGCGTACCAAAATGTATGCGTGTCTGTTGTTCCAGTGGAATTAATTTGATTTTAAGGAGACATATACATGAATTGGAGGAAGAATTGGCTTCTTCTGGGCATTCTTTTTTGTTTGTTTGTTTTTGGTTTTTTAGGTTCTTGTTATCAAACAGGATCTTTTAGAACTCCCTGGGAGGAAAGAAAAGTTCACAAAATTTTGCATCATATGTTATTGGAGAAAAATAACAAATCTGTATGTAGTTTGAAAAGATTACCAACCCTCCCCCCCATAGAATATTGTGGTATCTTATAGTGGAACTCCTAGTATTCTTTTTATACATTTTATTTGCGTTACTGGTCATAAAATTAGTTAAGTGGGGGTGTCAGCATGTAAAACAATGAAATAGGAAATATTAGAGTGCATTGCACATGGTAGGAGTATTACCTCCTGATACTTTCAGAAATAGACATATGGATGTGTCTATTGAGTCACAGATAGAAAATGTATTTCTTACTGTGGGTTACCGTCAAAAAAGTTTGGAAATACTGGCTCAAAGAACTCTCATTCATTTTATCTTCTTCCAGCTTTTGTTACCTTATTGAATGGTGAACAGGCCCAAAATGCAATTCAGATGTTTCATCAACACTCTTTTCGAGGAAAAGACTTAATAGTCCAGCTCCAGCCAACAGATGCTCTGCTCTGTATTACCAACTTGCCCACTTCTTTTACATTAGAAGAATTTGAAGAACTTGTGCGTGCTTATGGAAATGTTGAAAGATGTTTTCTGGTCTACAGTGAAGTTACGGGCCACTCCAAAGGCTATGGATTTGTGGAATACATGAAGAAGGACTTTGCTGCAAAGGCTAGATTGGAGCTATTGGGTAAACAGTTGGGGGCATCAGCTCTTTTTGCACAGTGGATGGATGTTAATCTGTTGGCCGCGGAGCTCATTCATTCTAAGTGCCTTTGTATAGATAAACTCCCTAGTGACTACAGGGATTCAGAGGAGCTGCTGCAATTATTTTCCAGCATCCATAAACCTGTATTTTGCCAGGTATGTATTTTTAAGGTCTCATTTGACAGATTTAAAAATATCTGCATATGTATCTATATGAATATCACAATGGATAATCTAATTCTACTGTAGTCTGTAGTGAACACTTTAATGTCATGGTAAATTTTACATCAGATCTTTTGTTGATGGTCCAAACTATATTATTTTTATATAATTAAGTATATCTTAGCAGATCCATCACTTTCTCATCTGCCTTTTCATTCCATCTATTCTTGAACCATTTGTGCAATAATCCATTCATCCATCCAGACTTAATTTATCACCTTTCTGTGCCAGACACTGTCTTGCTAAATATCAGAAATATAGAGAATAGAAAGATATTCTCTCAATACCTCACAGTTTTGTAGAAGAGACTGACAAGTAAGCGAATAATTGTAAATTCTGTGTGAAGATTGATAAAATAGAAAATATAGGTGTAAGATGAATGTGTAATTCTGTTCTCAATGGGGTCATGGTAAGTGAGGCGTTTAGAGAAGATCCTGAAAACTGACAACAGAGGTAAGGACTTTATCCAAGTAAAATTGAATATATTCTGCTAAGTAGGCAAAAATATACACTGTTTATAGCTCCTCCCATTACAGATTTTTATAGCACCTGTCAAAATTCTTTCTCTCTTGTCCCCTCTTCTCCTGTACTCCTTCCCGTCTTACCTCCCATCTTTCCTATCCCTCACCCTTATGTTTCTATAATCATAGATTTGTTGAATAGTACATTGAAGTAGAAATTTAGGGGTTTGAGTATATTTTATTTATATCTAATTAATTAATTAAAATTAATGCTACCATCTTAACTTTTCTTATATTCCCCCATCCCAATATAATAAGCATCTGAGAAATTACCCAAGGAGCTTCAAAAAATTAGAATATTTTGTGACAAATCTTTTATCAAATCTTTGTTAAGTTATTGGAAGTTGATTGTCTTATTGCTATGCTGTTCTTGAATACTAAGAATTGTACACTCATATCCTGTGTACAAGCATAATTCTTTGTAGCTTTAGTTGAGACCTTTGGAGCAAATGTGAGGGGAAGAACCATTTATCACAAATTGTATTTGAATTATGAATCCCAGAGTTGGAAGGGACCTGAGAGCATATCTACTCTAGCTTTCCATGTGGTTAAAAAAAAGAAAAAAGTTTGTTACAATATTTGTGAGTGATCATTTAGCTTTTGTTAAAATATTTCAAAATAATGGAAAATGAACTATATCATAAATCAGACCATTATATATTTGAATGGCCCTCGTATTGAACTGAAATAGCCATCTTTAAAATGATTGATGCTGTGGACTTAAAATGGTATAATTTATTTGGCATGAAGGTTATGATGAACCAGGAATAATAAACAGGTTTTAGAATTTTTGAAAAGATTGATAAAGCCTTTGTCAGTAGCTCTGTTAAACTCAGGCTCTTTTGCTTGGTAGATTGATATAGACTATGTTGAAGACACAGTCTTCCTACCTTGTGGTCAGATGGGACCAAAGGGACTAATGGCTTTTACAAAACTGATTTTAAGATTTGGTTTGGATTGTGAAGGGAATGAAGTTGTAGGACAAATGTTTGGAAGAGATAGATATTTTCCCTTTCTCCCACGTAAACGGAAAAAGTTTTTATGGAGGAAAAGACATTTGAGGACAGTTTTTAAAGGAAGGAAGACTGTGAAGGGAAAATAAAAATTTGGTCTAACTGCACAAGGAAGTGGAAGAAAGTTTGTCTTCAAAAATAGGAGAAAAGAAACTAAAAAGCAAAAAGAAATGATTTAATTATAATATCAATTTATAAGATGCCAAATCCAAGTAGAAGTGTTGTAGATGTGTCTTAAAGACATATCAAGCTGAATTTTACCACATATATCATTTTATAGCGTGAACGTGTTTAAGATAATTCAGACATGTTCAGAACTTAGAAACCTTTTAGTGCCTTGTTTTGTCCTTACTTTTGCTCTTTGTACCAGTCTTTACAGACCCAGGACTTTAATACCTTCTTTTACACTCTTTCAGGTAGGTAACTGGAAACAAATCGAGTTCTGCATTGCAGGAATTTACTTAGGGCATGTTCAGAAAAAGGTTGCATCCCGCATATGGTATTAGAAACAAACCTGGGGCACAGTTTTCCTAAATCAGATTTGCTTGGTATACTTGACCAGATTCCTGGGATCTGCCTAAAATACTGAAATAGAAGTTGCATACACAGACTTTATTTGACATAGAAACCTGATTAAATAGTTGTTCAGCATGTTTCATCATCTGTGTATCTGGTGAATTTATTTTAGAGAAAGTTTTAATTATTGTATCCCCATATTTATCTATAAATTATCAGTTATATGTATTTCTTAAAATAAAGGGACTATTATCATTTGATCATTGGCTTTTAAAATAAATCAGAGATTCAAAGAAGTAAAAGGAAACTTGACAGAATCTTACTTACCTTCCCATCTTCTGGAAGCACTGTGTCTACCCAACTGGTAAACTTTTATTTTCAGGAAGAATGTATACATGATTTTCACTAGTATCATGCTCTGAAACATTTGTCCTTGAATTTATAGATGACATGCTTGTAAATAAATATTTCTAAGTATTAGAATTCCCCTTTTAATAAATGTGTTACATCAGCTTGCACAGGATGAAGGTAGTTACGTGGGTGGCTTTGCGGTGGTTGAATATAGCACTGCAGAGCACGCCGAGGAGGTTCGGCAGGCAGCCGATGGTATGACAATCAAGGGAAGCAAAGTTCAAGTTTCCTTCTGTGCCCCAGGAGCACCAGGGCGGAGTACATTAGCAGCGTTGATAGCAGCTCAGCGTGTGGTAAGTTTGTTCTATTTTAGGACATAGGTAAATTCAAGTAGTATTTTCATGTATCCAGACTGGTTGACCATTGATTGGACCTTCATTATATTTCCATTACATAAAGACATTCTTCCTTTTTTTTTTTTAACTTGGCTAAATGGTACCTCTGCCAAATCAAGCCAGGAGTCAATACAAAAGGAACTGTGTTTAGTAAAGTGTATTTATCTCAAGAAAAAATCTTGAGGGAACTTCATTTATTCAGTAAAGTTTGAGTTTCTGTTCTGTAAGTTTTCAGTGCCCCTCTTTTCAAAAAGTGTTTATAAGTATCCACAGTAGAAGCAGAGGAAGGTGTGGGCCTCAGTGGCACACACATGGCACATTGCGCTCACATCTTTATTGGAGCTGTCTGCTTTCTCCTCTCTCTACCTCTCTAGTCTAGAAGTTCCTTGCAGATAGAGACTATTCCTTTTTCCCAGTTTTCACTCCTTGCACTTAGCATAGTAAATGCCCACTGAGCAAATGAAGGAAGGAATACACTTTGAGGGGATCAAGGAAGACATCATGATGGAGACATTTGAGTGTGACAAAGTATGATTTTGAAATGTGTTGATGGGAGTGGAAGATGGGATTGCCATATAAATACAAATTTTGCATGAGATATACTTACATTAAAATTTTTTCATTGCTTATCTGAAATGCAAATTTAATTGGGCATCCTGTATTTTTACTTGCTAAATCTGGCAACCCTAAGCAGAGAGAGGAAGCGGTCACCCTCTGGCTGCGACAAAACCTTTTGAGCAGTAAGTAGTATGAGGTCAATTTTGATGCTGAGGAGTGGTGAGTGGTCTGGGTAGACGAGTGTATTGAGACATGCGGTGAGGTGGTAGCTTGCTGTCAGTGGAGGGAGGGCTGTTGCATTCAGAGTTTAGCTTGAACTTGATCAGCAAGTTCAACTTTATAGATCCCATAGAGAACTTTGAAGCATATCATCAAGGCATTGAAAGAACCTGAGTTAAGACATCAAGAGATCACATAGTCTGGAAAGGGTTTGTGGATGAGCTGGAGAGAGGGGTGATCGCGGGGTGGCGGGGGTGCCGATAGGAGGTTGTCGTGAGTCGCTTCTCTCATATCGCTCGTCCTCCTCCTCTTTGCCCTCACTTCTGGCCCTGGATGCCCTCTCCCCTTTTCTTAGTTTGTCCTTAAGACAGGTCGTACTCGTATCCTTGCTTGGGTAATTGACGGCCTCAGCCAGCCTTTCACCATCAGTTTCATGGCCTCTGGTTATGTTGTCTCTTTGTTGGGTTGAATTTGCTGTTTCCAATCCTGAATCCATCCAGCCACTCACTTCTGTAGCCAGTGCACTCTGTCCTCTTGGAGGAAAACAAATGACTAGGTGACGTGGTGCCCCTTCAAACGTCTGTCATACGTTTATAGCTGGTTCCCCAGCAAAACTTAGCTCACCTCATATCAGCCACTCCTCTCCATTTTGTGCAGCACCTGTCTCAGATCTTCGCTCTTCCTATGTTTGTCCTTCTTTCTGTCAGGTGATCGTGGCCCCTACTTTATAGAAATATGAGAGCCATTTTCACTTAATTTTGGAATCAAGAGAACCCTGACCTCATCAAATAATTTAAGTGTCTTTTTTCTTCCCCTCCTCTTTTTCTTTCAGTTTCATGGATCAATTCATATAAAATAGAGGTTATCTGTTCCTGCAAGTTTGAAAGTTCTCATCTATGAAACCACATAGACCTAGTCCTTGAACCTCTTCCAGAGAGAAAATATTGATTACCACTCAAGTTGCTTTCATGGATATTAGGTGTATTACTTTTATTTTTCTCTGTGTGCTATATTTGGCATTTGATTATATCCTATAAATTTATCCACTTTGTCTAAGTTTTCAAATTTATTGGCACATAGCTACTTATAAAATTTTATTTTTTAAAATTTGTTATATATACTCTCGTCTTTTTCATCATATATTTTATTTGCATTTTCTTTTTTCTTGATCAGTCTTGCAAGCTATCTGTTTTGCTTTTCAAAGAAGCAGCTTTTGTTTTGCTCATTATTTCGATTTTTTTCTCTTGCTTATTTCTGCCGTTTAGTTTCCTTGCTCCTTTCTTCTTTAGATTTACTCTTTCCCCCATCTTTATTGATATTAATATTTATCTCTTTTGTTTCCAATCTAGATCATTTTCTTTTTCTTTTTTTAATTCACTTTAAAAAATTGTTTTTAAGAGGAGTAGGTAATTAGATTTATTTATTTTTAATGGAGGTACTCAGGATTGAACCCAGGACCTCTTGCATGCTAAGCATGCATTCTACCACTGAGCTATACTCTCCCCCAAGATTGTTTTCTGATAAACTTATTTAAAGTAAGTTTACTTCTGTAACTAATTTTATACCTATGTGTCATAAATTTTATGACTGTCTCAAATTTTTGTGATGCTGTCCTTTTAGCTTAATTGATAGTTTTTTTTCGGTTAATAGCCACTTAGAAATTTTTATAAAACTTCTGATAGTTTTCTTAAATTGCGATATAATTGACATACAGAATTATATTAGGTTTCAGGTGTACACTAATGATTCAGTATTTGTATATGTTGTGAAATGATCACCACAGTAATTCTAGTTAATATCCATCGTGATACATAATTAAAATTTTTTTTTTGTGACAAGAACTTGTAAGGTCTCTCTTAGCAGCCTTCAAATATGCAATAGAGTATTATGAACTATAGTTACCATGCTGTATATTACATTCCCAAGACTTATTTATCTTATAACTGGAAGTTTGTACTTTTTGATGTCCTTTACCCACTTCATTCATCCTCCCCTCCTCCCTGCCTCTGGCAGCCACTGATCTATTCTCTGTATCTATGGGCTTGGTTTTGTTTTTCCTTAAATTCTACATTTAAGTGAGATCATGTAGTATTTGTCTTTCTCTGTCTGACTTATTTCACTTAGCATAATGCCCTCAGGGTCCATCCATGTTGTCACAAATGGTGAGATTTCAGTCTTTTTACGGCTAAATAACATTTCATTGTCTGTATACATATACACCCCACCTTTTCTTTACCCACTCATCCATTGATGGACACTTAGGTTGTTTTCGTATCTTGGCTATTGTGAATAATACTGCAGTGAACATGGAGGGGTATGTATCTTTTCGAGTTAATGTTTTTGTTTTCTTTGGATAAATACACAGAAGTGGAATTGCTGGATCATACAGTATTTCTATTTTTAATATTTTGTACTTTTTAAATTTAAAGTAATTTATGTACTGTTTTCCATAGTGGCTGTACCAATTTACATTCTCACCAATACACACTGGGTTTCCTTTTCTCCACATTCCTGCTGACACCTGTCATGCTTTCTTTTAACTATATTTTTCCCTTTATTTCCCATCTACTATTAGATAGATTAAAATTTCCTTCTTCTGCTTTGAGAGTGATATGTTCAATTTTATCCTCTTGGTGAGTGTTCCTAACTTATTAACCCCCCTAGGTTGATCAGTATTTCTTCCCACTTAACTCATCCTAAGCTCTGTCCTCCTTCTTCCTGTCTACCACCATATTGGTGTCCACATTTTTACTTTAGGATTGCCTTGAATATTTTTGTTCGTTTGTTTTTATGATCCTGACATTTGTGTACAAGATTTAAAATTAACTGTGAGATTACATACCTTAATTTCCATGTATCATGTAATATCATGCATTTATTCTCTTTTGTCATTTTGAGAAAGGATGTTCATGTAGTAACAAAAAAAAGTTTGAGATTATCTGTGGCTTAGAATATTTTTAATTTCTTTTGCATATTTAAGTAATAGTTTAGCTGAATATAAAAATCTAGATTCAAAGGGTTTTTTTTTGTAATACTTTGAAAATATTAATTTGTTGCCTTCTTGAATCCAGTGTTGATGCTTTGAGAGTGAAGATGGTATTAGTTCTGCTTCTTGGTTTTTTGTTGATATATGTTCTTTCTCACTGGAAGCTTTAAATTTTTGTTTGTTTTGTTTGCTTTGATGTTCTTAAATTTCACACCAAAAAAATGTGACTAGATGTGTTGGTTTTCTACATCATATTTGGAATACTCTAAACCCTTTCATTTTGTGGACTTTAAGTTTTCTTTAATACTGGGAAATTCTCAGCCATTATTTCTTAGAAGTTGCCTTTCTTTCCTAATCCTTCAGGGACTCCTGTTAGACAGATGTTAAGACTTCTAGTCTCTTTGTTGCCTTGGTGTTCTCTTGTTTTATTTTGCGTTTCTCATTTCCATGTTTTATTTTGTTTGCATTTCCCATTTCTTTATCCTTTGCTCATATATCCTGGGTACTTCCTCTAACCTGACCTTTCAGATCCCTATTTTGTTTTTCAGTCACTTGTATTCTACTGTTTAGCTCTGTTAAAGCACAGAGTAGAGGTTATGAATAATGCTTTATATGTTTCTGCAGTTTCCTCAATTACAGTATGGGGGTAATAATACTAACCCTGTAGAGTTGTTTTGGAGCATTGAGTGATCTAATCCACGGCACATGCTTAGAGCAGTACCAGATGTGTGTGAGTGATGGCTGCTGCTACTGTTCCCAGCAGCTATGTTTGTCGTGCTTTGTATTTCTGAGCAGTTGTTCTTTATAACTGCTTGTCCTTGCTTCATGTTACCAATAAAAAAATGTGGTATCTTCTTTAGTCATGTCTGTTATGTTTATCTAACATTCTTATTATTTCCTATCCTTTAATTCTGCTTTGCCTCTTACAGGTGCTTCAGTTTACTTTTTGTGGCTACATTCTCCAGCTATCTAGTTATTTTGTTTCTGTGAATATGTATTTCTTTTGGTGGAGGCAAGGGTCAGCTTCCTTGTATGTGAATGTTTAGAGGTCAGGGGGGTGGAGGGTGGACAAGAAGAGTAAAGCCTGGCCTTAGTGAGGGTGTAGGAAAGGCAGGTAAGGACCTAGGGCCAAGAGCCTCTGCCTTGATCATCTGGCCTTGACCACAGCCCTTTATCTCACCCCAGCCAGGCAACGCTGCACCTTAGACAGTCTCCTTAATCTCTGCTCCCCGCCCTGCTCTTTTCCAAGTTCTGTCTGCCTCAGTTACAACCCTTCTACCTGATACTGCGGGAGGAAGGAACTGGAAATGGCTGGAGAGAGTGGGAAGGAAGTTCTTGGTGCCTGCACCTAGTGCCACGTGGTCCCCACTGTCTCTGAGTTTGCATGCCACCCTGCTGCTAATTCATCGGTCCTACGGCTGCCGTGGACTGATGCTGCTGTTTTCCTGCCTCGTGCTGGTCAGGAAAGCCACGATCCCTAGAGGATATGTGAAGGGGGAAACATAGTTAAAAATAAAAGGCTTTTCCCTAAAGAACACAGTCTGGGGCTCCAGGCTCTCTCACACTCTCCGCTGTGCTGCCTTGTGTCTGTCCAGGGATTGCTCCCAGGGTTTTGTGTCAGGTTCTCAGATCAATCACCCTCTTCTCTCAGTTTTTCAGTCTGGGTTGAGAGAGAGAATCCAGTTGTCCTTGTCAGTTCTCTTGGCTGGAAATTTATACTTTTCCTTTCATATCATTATATTAATATTCTCATCTATCAGGCTGGTATTTTAAAACTGAAAACAATTTCATGTTTTTAAGAAGCTACCCAATTACACGTATGTAAGGCCAGTTCATCTTTGTCTCATATTAGAGGATTAAGCTATGGAAACAAAGATCTTTATTGTAAGAAAAGCTTGGTGTGTAAGGCAACTCACATGATTAAACTTTAGATCAGCATTATAGTAAAGGTCCTGTATGGTATCAAAGTATTCATATTGTATCAACAAGTTATGTCTCTGTTACTAAATTCAGATTCTCTTGATATCTTTCTGCTTATATGAAGAGATTTATCTTGCTATTGTTAGTCCTCCTAAAGCCAATTTCTGTTTAACTGGGACATTCTATGAGGATTTCAGTGTATCGTTGAATGGTAGAAGGTCTTAATTAGGAATTGTGGTGGAATATATACAACTAGTATATAATGTAAAGCAAATTGTTTATCATAAAATAGATCTTATCAGATAAATGAGAATTTCTGTAAAAAAAAAAATACCTTTAAAATTTCATCTTTGTGCTTATCCTTGTTGTAATGTTTTCTGTTTCTGTATTCATTGAAGATGCACAGTAATCAAAAGGGCTTACTTCCAGAGCCAAATCCAGTGCAAATTATGAAAAGTTTAAACAACCCTGCCATGTTACAAGTTCTGCTTCAACCCCAGCTCTGCGGGCGGACTGTTCAACCAGGTAAACATCACATGTGCTGATTAAACATGGAACTTCGGCATGAAGTTAATCATGCTGTTTTACGTGAAAAAAACATTTAAATTAGTTCAAAAATGTTAATTTTTTTCTAGAATTTATCAGTGAATTTTAATTAACAATCCAAGGTGATATTATATTTGACTATTTTGGTAGATTAAAAACTGCTCTGGCTTTCTTTATTTTTTAAGTATAAATAAATATTAAATATTAAACCTTCAGTTGAGTTACTAGTGGACGTCAATTTATAGACCAGGTTACATATGGATTAATAAGGTAATAAATAATGCACTATATTGTTACAGCCTATATTAACAAAGGATATGATACAAAGGATATGTGTAATATTTTTAGCAGAGTCACTTTGATAGAAAGTACTTAAGTTCTGTTTCCTCTCTGCGCTTACCTTTCTTTTTTATTGTAAGATTGTTTCACTTTGTAGAAAATGACCAAAACATTATTATTTGCCGAGTGTCATGGAAATTCTTATAATGTTAGCATACATTATATATCTATTTAGTATTCTTTCTCTGAGAAAGATTTATTTACCTTCTGAAATGCACAACTGTACATACACAACATGTATATTTTACCATTATGAGGAAATATATTCAACACTAAGCTCTACATTACAAATATTTAGAATAAATACATTTATTCTGTTTCCTCCCCAACTGGTCTAACGCCGACTAGTATTCTGCAGTTCAGTTCTAGCACCAACTAACTACCTGGAGTTAGCGCAGATCCTACAAATAAGGGCTTAGTCCCCAGCGGGTCTGCCCCAGCTTCAGACACCAGCCACAAGTTCAGGAGGTCCCCTGGCCACCTACACTTCTGACAACTAGCTTCAAATTTAGAGGTTCCTGTGACCCCTCCTCATGTTCAATAATTTCGTAGAAGGGCTCTCAGAATTTAGGAAAGCACTACGCTAACGAGTACAGTTTTGTTATGAGCGATGTAACTCAGAAACAGCCTAATCTAGAGGCTTCAGGCTAGCCCTGGGGAGGGGAGGTGGGTCCTGGGTACGGAGCTTTGCTGTTCTTTCCCTGTGGGGCTGGGGCACACCTGCCTCCCAGCACCCGTGTGTTTACCAGCCAGCTGTCTCCACTGACCTAACTTTGGTGTCTAGAGTTCTTACTGGGGTTTTGTTATGTAGGTAATACTGGCCATGTTATTCAACTCTATCTCTAGCCCCCTTCCTCTCCCGGGAGGTCAGAAGGTCAGGCTGATGCCACAGAGCTCAAACTCCAACCCTCCTGAAGCTATCTAGGGGCCCACCAGGAGTCACCTCATTAACATAACAAAGACTCTTCGATCACTTGGGAAATTCCAAGGATTTAGAGTTTTCCTTCCAGAGACAAAGACCAGTTAAATTCTTTTTTATACATATTAAAAGATTCTTCCCTTATAGTGGATGGTAATTCCTAAAACTTTTACCCGCTTATTCTGGTTCTCCCTATGAAGAAGCTCAGAATTAATCTGTTCCTTCCATAAGAGAAGCCTTCTAATGTTTGAAGACAACTGTTACGAAACCTTAGTCTTCTTTGATTTTCTTTGTCTTCTATTCTCCAGACCAGTGGTCTCTTTTTGTTTGTTTATTTTTGACTGTGCAGCTCTATCAGGAAAATATATTTTTAGCAGAGCCCCAATATATGCAGTGTATGTATCACTTCTGTGTCAATTATATGAATGCATTCGTGTATTTAAAGTGCAGCCCATATATTAAGAAATGATCAAGCATAATAATTTTATTTTTAAGATGAAAGTAAATATAAATAAGTTCTAATATTTGCTTTCTACACATTTTCTACCTCTTTGTAGACTATAGTTCTGTATTTGACTTTCCATAACATGTCATAGTATATGCTCTCTAGAGCCCCCCAACAAATTGTCCTCTTGTAGATAAACCTAGGTTTCTGGGTTGTCCTGAAATACAGTGTATACAGACGTGAATTTATCCCACACATGGGTTCTAATCAGCACAGAATGCAGTGGGATTTCCTTCTTATGATCATTATGTTTCTGTTAATGCAGTTCAAGATTGTATCAGTGTTTAAAGAAGGATATTACACTTGGGTCTTTTAGAAAGTATTGTCCACACCGTTGGACTCTGGGTTGTCTTAAGTAACTTTTCCCCCAAATTATTTTTGTCTCTTCTTTTCATCTAAGATATGTATTCTCCACTCTGCCTTTCCACTCGGATTGATGTATGATCATGCGAAATTATGCTTTTTTTTTTATTTTTGTACTACTTTGACAATTTTAAGGAAGATGTGTCGATATCACACAGGTGGTTTTCTCATTGTGTGGAATGGCAGGGGAAGAGGATTAAATACCTCCCTTGGACAGATGAAAAGCTTCCGGAGAATGTACGGAAAGTTTCCTGGTGTTCAGGAAAGACAAACTATTAATAAGTTCCATTTGTTTTTCCTTTACTACGTCCTTTAATATATCTTAACTTTATCCCTTACTATATCCTAAACTTCACAGAGGCCTCTGAGCAAACAAAAATAATTATAAAGAGTCATAATTCTCTATAATTATGTTTATATTGTATAATATATATCTACAGGCATGCCTCATTTTATTGTGCTTCACAGGTACTGTTTTTTTTACAAATTGGAAGTTTGTGGCAACAGTTATTTGTCAGATGATGGTTAGCATTTTTTAGCATATTTAATTTGAGGTATATATGTTGTTTTTTAGACATAATGCTCTTGTACACTTAATAAACTATTGTGTAGTATAAATGTAACTTGTATATGCACTGGGAAACCAAAAAAATTGTATGATTCACTTTATTGCTATAATCACTTTATCCGAGCAGCCTGGAACCAAACCTGCAGTATCTCTGGGTTATGCATGTATGATATTTTGTATTTAAACCCTTACTCTACTGTTTTGTCATTGTATCATTTTTTCAAGTAACTGACACATATTTACTTGTTTATTGTCTCTGTCTCCCACTAGAAGAGAGGAGACTCCATAACAGCAAAGATTTATCTGTCTTGTTCATCTCAGGTGCCTAGAGCAGAACTGCTATTTGTAGTGAAAAACACTCAAATATTGTTCACTGATTAAACTCCTTCTTTAGGGGTATAATAGCTCAAGTAGTAGAGAATGTTAGCATGCACAAGGTTCTGTGTTCAATCCCCAGAACCTCCTCTAAATATAAATAGATAAACCTAATTATCTCCCCCCCTCAAAAAAAAAAAATCTCCTTCCTTTACCTCCCTGTTGCAGAGTTTGTACATACCTTGTTACGTATGGTCTAGTCTGTAAATTTCTAAGTACTTCTCTTTTTGGTCTTTGCTGTCATCTAACCTGTGCACCACCATCAGGTTGATCTTCCTCCCACACCCACTTTGATTATGTTTCTCTGACCGTACTGATCTTTTCTCTTCAATCCAGACCTTTCACTACCTTAGAAATATATAATGTAAACATTCTAGATGTCTTTCTCTCTATATGTGTGTGTCTATTTTAAATTTTAACTGGTTTATAATTACTTATAGTCTAAATTGTGTTTTTAACAGCTTTATTGAGGTATAACTGGTGCACGTTCGCCTGCACATATTTTAATTGTATGAATTGGTAAGCTTTGACATATGCATAACCCGTGAGACTATCTTTGTAATCAGAATAATGAACATCTTCATTACTCTCAGAACTTTCTTTCTGCCTCTAACCCACTCCTCCCCCCACCCCCAGGAAACTACTGATTTGCTTTCTGTCACTATAGAGTAGTTTGTATCTTCTTGAAATTCATATAAACGGAATCACACAGTATGTGCTATTTGGCTTCTTTCCCTTGGCTTATTATTTTGCGATTCATCCACGTTGCTGCATGTATCAATAGTTTTTCTCTCTTTAATGCCGAGAAATATTTCATTCTTCAAATTGCATATTCACTGATTTGTTGAACATTAGATTATTGGCTATTAGGGGTCATTACAAATAAAATTGCTGTGAACATTTGTTTCTGGTCTTCATATAGACTTACGCTTTCATTTATTTTGGGTAAAGATCTAGCTGTAGGATGGCTGGGTCATATGGTGGATGTATGTATAAGTTACAAGACTCTCTCCCAACTGTTTTCTAATGTGGTTGAACCATTTTACATTCTCACCATCAGTGTCCAGTACTTCATTCCTTTTTATGGCTGAATAATATTCCATTGTATGCATATACTGCGTTTTACTTATTCATTCATCCTTTGATGGACATTTGAGTTGTTTTCACCTTTTGACTCTTGCAGAGTGCTGCTATGAATATTCATATACAAGTATTTGAATATCTGTTTTCAATTCTTTTAGGGGTATATATTTAGGAATAGAATTGGTGGGTTATTTGGTTATTCTATGTTTAACCTGATGAGGGGCTACCAGACTTTTTCAGAATGCCTGCACCATTTTACATTCCCATAGCAGTATACACATGATCCAATTTTGCCATATCTTCATAGGCTCTGTTACTTTGTTGTTTTTTATTAATTACAGCCATCCAAATAAGAATAAACTGGCAACTCTCATGGTTTTGATTTGAGCTTCTCTAATGACTAGTGATGTTGAGCATCTTTTTGTGTGCTTGTTGTCTATTTTTATGTCTTTGGGGAAATGCTTAATCAAATTCTTTGCCCATTTTTAAACAGGATTGTGTGTCTTTTTGTTGCTGAGTTCTTTATATACTCTTGATACTATTTTAAATAGTATCGCTTTTTAAATTTCAATTTTCTATTGTTGCTAACATATATAAGTACAATTGATTTTGTATGTTTATCTTACATCCTGCAGTCTTGCATATTATTTCTAATAGTTTTTTCCTTTAGGATTTTCTGTATAAACAATTATATCATCTACAAATAAACACAGTTTTACTTCTTCCTTTGCAATATCTATGCCTTTTACTTCTTTTCCTTCCTTTATTGCAGTTGATAGAAATTCCAGCATAATTTGTACATTGAACTGGTGAGAGTGGACATCCTTGTCTTGTTCCTGACTTTACATAGAAAACATTCATTCTTTTACTATTAAATACCTTGTTAGCTATAGCCCCACCCCCCCCAATTTCCTTTTTCAAGCTGGGAACTTTTTCTTCTATTCATATATCACTGAGAAATTTTATTATGATAATGACCAAAATTTGTCTAATGCTTTTCTCCATTGATTGAGATCATTATATGTGGCTTTTTTATTTTTAGTCTGTTATCTTGATGAATTGTATTGACTGATTTTTGAATGTTTAATCTTTTATTCCTAGGATACGTCACACTTGGTCATGCTGTATTATAATCCTTTGTATGTATTGTTGGTTGATAGTGTTGTTCAAGTCTTCTATACCCTTACTGATTTCCAGTCAACTTGTTCTGTCAGTTAGTGAGGGGGAGGAATGAGGCTTAGTAGGAGACCTAGCCAAGATCTAAGGGTAAGGGCAGTTAGATGTGAGACTGGACATTTTCAGAGTGTTTTAATTCTGATTGTTTTAAGCTGGGAAATACTGTATTCTTTAAGAGCTATGAAAATATATTTAATATTTTATAACAAAATACAGTGACTGAGAAATGAGAGGAGGTAGTGTTGAGATTTCTAGCTGTAATTGTGGATTTGTCTCCTTTTCCTTTCAGTTCTAGAAATGTTTGCTTTATATATTTTGAAGCTTTATTATTTGGTGCACAGACACTTAAGACTTCTGCATCCTCTTGATGAATTGATCCCTCTATCATTATGAAATGACCATCTTTATCCGTCTTTCCTAATGAACAATGTCTTCCTTTGTAAGCAACTTATCCTAATGATTTAACCTTTTCACCACCTATGGTGAAACTGATTCATTCTAAAGAAAGTAGTTTCTAATAGTTTTCCAAAGATGTAACGGATTGCCTCAACAAGTAACAAAAACTTAAAATGCAGTTTTTAAAGCATGGGATGTACTTGTACAAAAGATACTATTTATAAATTTCAAGTATGTTTGATCATTGGATTATATGCTTCTTGAAGTCCTTCCTAAGCCTGACCTTCCATGATTCTAATTAACTATTATATTGCTAGAGAATTTTGTATATTATGACTATTTCCATCTAATAATTAGATGAAGTTGCTTCATATATTTTCTATTTCATGAGTTTTTTTCCCCTGTATATTGTCTATTTTGAAAATACATCTTTTGATGTGTACTCTGGTATTTATACTCTTATACAGACTTGAAAGAGTATGGTTGCCATTTATTCCTCTTATCAACTATGTACAGTATTATTTCTTTTGTTTTTATATAAATATTTTAAAAATGTACAGATACTCTCTTCTCAATTGGATTATAAGCTTTAAGGACAAGGATTGTGTCTTGTTCTTTCCCCTCTACTCTGACCCCATGCCAAAATACCCCAAGTACCTAACAAAAATATTCAGCAAACAACATGGGTTCAATTAGTACTATACTTATTAAAAGATGGAATTAGTTTTCTTGCACTAAGTACTAGAGAAGAGAAAGGCTAACTTTGGTATTTTACCGGTAAGACAGAAGATGTTGGAATTTTAAATCAAATTTCAGGGTTGAATCACAAGGAAAGGAGCCTGTCACTTTTTGTACAATGAAAAGGTCAGTAAATCATTGAACTTCCAATGAATTTGTTAAAAATTTGAAGAAATAGCCGTTTACCCTTGTTGGAGTTTGTTTTATTTATTTTTAATTCCATATATATCATAAAGTTAAATGTTTACTTTTATTTCCTTAAAGCAGTTCTTGGAACACCTCACAGCTTGCCACATCTGATGAATCCGTCCGTCTCCCCCGCCTTTTTACATTTGAATAAAGCACATCAGGTATATAAAGAACGATGAGCACTGAAGCATCCAACGTTTCGGAGTGAATGTTTTGTTTATTCTTAACACTTTAAGTTCTCAGGAATTTAAATGAGTATTTTTTTTAAGCCCTTAAATATGGCTGCATAAAATAGAACTTAAAAAGCATATCAGATCACATTAAGCAAATCAAAGCAGCATACTTACATTTATTGGTTCTTATTTGCAGGGCATTAAGAAGGGAAGATGATATTTTGTGGTATGTTTTTCTAGGAATGAGTAGCTCAAAACAAGTCTTATGTGGTCTTAACTCAAAGTATTTACGGAAAAAAAAATAAATGAACATTAACTCTTAAATCTTAAAATTAAATCAGTGTTATAAAAATAATTCCTGTATTTATGAGAGTAAAACTATTTTCTTACCTTTTTCAGATAAATATTTTAAAATGTGTTTGTATATATAAATATCCATAATATTGGAGATAAACATTACCCACTGTATTCAGGTACCATTTCAGGTGTATCTGTATTGAAGCCTAATTACAAATCAAACCTCACACATACTAGATGTTTGTTGTAGATTGAATGAATGAATGTCTGTTTCTAAACCCAGCTTTTTAAGGAAGAGGTCTATCCTTTATTTATTTTTCATTCTTAGGATCTAACATAGGCCCTTGTACATTATAGAGTCTTCATTCATTCATTTACTCAACATATTTTATTGGGAATCTGACATGTATTAAACACTCTGCTAGTCATTGAGGCTACAACACTGAACAAAATATTCATAGTCACTGTTCTAACAGAATTTCAATAGATAGAGAAAACAAACATTTAACAGTTAATTTCAGTAAGGTTTAAAGAGTGGTCTGAGAGGGGAGTCCAGAGTATTGACAATACTCTCTTTACCTTAAAATAAAGAGCAAACTGCTCAATTTGGCCTTGTGGGCCTGCCCGAGCAGGTCTCTCCTCCTCCTTGTGTTCCTTGAGTATCACTGTCCAGCTGCAGTGAACTGGTTTTGGTCCTTGAAGGACTTTCTTCTCTTCTCTGTAGGTGTTTGCTCCAGCTGTTCCTTCTGCCTGGAATGCTTTCCACCCCAACACCACCTAGTTCCCCTAGGCTTCACCCATTTATTTCTCTGCAGCGTTAGATCTCTGTGCAAGAGTTAGTTCCTTAGGGAAACCTTCCTTGAATTTGCCAATCTAAATCAAGTCCCACCACTATTTGTTCTTATAGCTCCTTGTATTTTCCCTTCATACACTCATCACCATCTGTAGTTGTATGCTTTACAGTGATCTCCCTTCCTCAGGGAACTCTGAGATCCATGAGGGCAGATCGTATTGTATTTCTCACTATGTAGCACAGTGCCTAGCACATAGAAGAGCTTGGTAACTCTTTGTTGAATGATTAAGTGAATAAATAAATGATTGAGTGACACTGACATCAAAGCCAGAAAGGGAAGAAGAGAGGGGAGGAAGGATGAAAGAAAAGAAGGCAGGGATGTGGAATTAGTTTTGTGACTGTGTGGTCACATCTTGTTATATTATTGAAAAAATTAGTGTTGCCTGTAGCTGGGAAGCGGGGTGTTAAGGAGCTGCTGCTTTGGCTCAGATCCTCTGGGGAACTGAACTTTAAAGTGAGTTGGGTTATACAACAGGTGGCTCTTCAAAATTAAACTAACTTAATGTTTTACCGTTTTCACAGAGCTCACTTCTGGGTAGTACTTCTAATTTATTTCTTCAGAATCTTTCTCATGTACCAGTGGCACAGCAACAGTTAATGAAGTTTGAGAATATTCATACTAATAATGTAAGTAGGGAATTACTTTTTTCTTTTGAAATGGGTTCATTCCTTTTGTGTAATCAGGCCATTGGTCAGATCGTTTGTGAATTTTCACACCCGTAGCTTTTCTTACTAGGTTGCATTTTGTTGCCACGGGCCGAAGTCTGACTTTGTTTTCTTCTTTTTGCAGAAACCAGGCTTACTCGGAGAAGCTCCAGGCCTGGTACTTCAAACCGCAGCAGGGATCGGGTCAGCGCTTCCACTGAAAACAGAGCTGGGCCATCTTGGAGAAGCACATAAAAGTAAATGATGTGTGTTTGCTGAGAAGTCAGTGAACAGATTAGAGAGTTAAAGATAGTTTACCTGTGTTCTACTTTGATTTACAGGAAGGTCAGATTTGAGTTTTATTCACTTAAAATTTCAAGCACCCTCTTGGCTTTTCTATTTTTAATAGTAGAACAGTGTTGATAAGTTATGGACGGACTGCTTCCATGCCAAGATAAGACCTTCCCTGTGGGATATGCTTTAATATTTGATGAAGGTTCACAGCAGCATGAGGCAAAGACACTGATCCCCTTGAGACTGACATGCTGCCCACTGGGCGGGCAGCACATTACACAGGGATCCGTTTAATTTTTGCCTGGATAAGAGACCCTTAGCTTTTTTTGAAGATTATCTGGTAATTGTAAATTTAAAGTTTAATTATCTCTGTGTTATTTTTCATGTGTACTGTGTGCTTCTGAAAAGATGACAAATTTAAACAGAACAATTTTTTTTTTCCTTTATAGAAAAACAGGAGCATGGTGGTATGCCTAGATTTCTGATTTGAATGTGATTTTGAAAGGCACTTTCAAAGTTGATTGGAATTTGTTTGAAGTGAGCGTACTGAAAGGGGAAAAAAGAAGGGCTACTAGTAATAAAAAAAAAAAGTCAAATTTGGGTAGCATATTTAGCCTCTTGTACGTAAAACTAACGAGTCAAATGATAAGATAATCAACTTAGACTATTGGAATTGACTTATGAGCTGGCCAAAGTTTAGGCACTATACCAACAGGTATATAAATTTTTATGGTATGGTGGGGTCTATCCTAAAATTTAAATTTTATAGGACTAAAAGCTTATGCAAATGTTTATTATTTGTGTTGGGCTAAATAAGCCATTTGCTTTAGCATTTCTGCTTTAAGAACACTGAAAATTCAAAGTATACAAATAAATATCACTAAAAAATAGAGCTGAGAATCTAAATATTTAGTCCTAAAAATAATGTAAGAATTTTGTTTAATGAATTGTAAAATATAACTTTGATTTAATTAAAATAGTTATCACAACTAGCTCTCTTCATTTTTGACCTGTAGATTTTTAAAAAGTGGAATGGTTCATAATTTTCCTACTAAAACTTTCATTCCTTGTTGTTTATTATAAACAAAAATGGTAAACTTTCATGTGTTAAACTTTCATTTGGTGCTTATCTATTCACAAATACTGATGTTTTTTGAACCAGCAGTGTGCTGGTGTTTAAAAACCATCTCTCTAGGTTAAAAAAGTAGTCTTGATTTGTAGTATTTGTGGGTTTCTGTATGTAAACACTCCAGCCATGGCTGATTTCAGGTTACCCATATGAAGACTTTGAGTTCAAAAGCAAAAAAGAGAAAGTACAATTGATTCTTACGAGCTGGTGCAAGCTGGCTGAATAAATTTATTGTTGGGTTTAATCTAACTATTAATTTTTGAGAGAGAATCTTTTTAAACTGAAAACTATAGAAATTATTTAAAATTATATATATGCCTTTCCAAAAAAAGGTACTGCTGTAACTTAAATGCCAGCAAGTACATAAATTTTGCTCTCAGCTTCTAAAATATGCAATTAAAACTTGGAACCAAAAAAATATAATATCCTTGAGATGATCCTGGAAGTTGTTGAAAGTAAGAAAAGCATGATTACTATTAGAAGTTTTTGTTTTTTCCGTATGGGAGCCTGCTAAATTACAACCTCTCACCTCACTTTTTAAATTTAACTGTTCTCCAGAAGGTAAATAATAGGTTTCCACACTTTTTGCCCACAAGTTGACAAAATCAGAAGGACTATTGTGAATAAGCCTTGTCTAACACAAAGCCTTTTGCATTTGTGGTTCACTGCAGCATCTAATCTGATTCCAACTCAAACAACTGTAACAGCTGGCGTGGGCATGTTACCATTCTTTCCAAATCAGCATATTGCTGGACAAGCAGGGCCCGGGCCTGGGAGCACTCAGGAGAAACAGCCAGCCTCCGTGGGAATGGCAGAAGGAAATTTCTCAGGGTCACAGCCTTATCTTCAGAGCTTTCCAAACCTTCCTGCTGGAGGCTTGCTCTCGGGACATCATAAGCAACAGCAAAGTCAGCCAAAAGGCCCGGAGATAAGTTCAGGGGTAAGAAAACCGTGTGTGTGTGTGTGTGCGCGTGCACATACATATATATCCATGTGTCCACACGTATATGTGTATGCTACACACATATGCATATACTAAAAAGGAATATAGCCATGTGAATATTCCTTTTTAACTACATCTTAAATTATTCTAATTCTGGAGTGTTCTAATTTTTGGTTATTTTATAGGTGGTAAAATTTATGAAATACCAGGCAATCTTAACTATTTTTAAATTTCAAAAGAAGTTAATACTATACTTAAAGTATATAAATACGGATTACAAACTGGATAATTTCTATAACATGCCAGGACATGGTGACTTTTTCATGGTGTACATTTATTTCTCAAAATAGAAGAAAATATAATAAGAGGTTGAAAAAAACCTCTTATTATAAACAAACAAAAATCCATCTTTGATAAGTTATGCCAAATGATGTTTGGGACTCTGCTTTAATTACTTGCCAGTTTGTCATTAAAATAATTTGTGTAAAATGAGGTTTTTTTTTTTTAAGTCTGTTATTATAAAATATTTAAATACGAATTCTTTATTTCTATAAATATTTGCTTTTCTAAACTTTTAAATATCAGGTATTTTTGAAAACTACATATTTTAAAAATAAAATATAAAGTAATTTAAGTTCAGAATTTTGTAGTTTAGAAGAGTGTAAGACTCATTAATACTTATTTAATTGTATGATGACATTTATAAGGCTTTCTAAGTAAATAATAATGCTATTCTTTAAAATACACTCTTTTTTTCTATCTTAAATGTATATTCTGTAGTTAATTAGGGTATTTTAACATTTAAAGGCAGAACAAATACTATTTTATCTGAAAAACTTCAATGTCAGTTATTACTCTGGTCTGTTTAAAGGAATATAATTTTGATTTTAATGCTGGCGGTTTTTTACCCAATATTTTATTGGTTCATAAACCACGGACATTTGTAAATGTTATAATTGGTAGGTAGGATAAAGTACATTTAGTTTTCATTTTCTTTGTACCCTAAAATATTCTTTGGTTTGTAAGTGGCGTGTGAGAAAAAACATTTGTCTAGTTGGTTATATTCATATGTCAAAATAGTAATATTGACTTTGTAGTGGTTTTGGTGTCACCTAGTCATGGCAGGTGGTATGGACAGAAAGCCCTACAATCATACATTGAGAAGGCTAGGGCAATTCTTCATAGGATGAATTTTAAACATTTATGTGCAGTATTAATTGTTTGAGTTACTGAGGAAAATTAAAACTTATATATGAATAGTCTGTATCTTTTTGCACAGACTCTTTAATTCATTGAAAGCACCAAGGTCTTTAGAAAAACTGGACTAGAGGTGGTTCACATAGTGGACAAATGAGAGTGTACCTGGAAAAAGACTGCCCAGGTCGGGCAGGGCTGGGAAACCAGTCCTGGGAAGAGCAAGCGAAACAGATATATGGAACTTGGCAAGAGTTGAACAGCTGACATTTAATTTGATGTTACAAAAGACTTCACAGACTGATCTAGTCACATGGTATTTTGTGTTTCTCCAGTGTGCAGAACAAGTCCAATAAGTATGACATGCAATAAAGCAGACTTAGGTGTAATGTAACAAAGAGCAATTGAAGTTTTTCGAACAAAGAAAAGGTTTGGCAGTTTCACAAAGATGTGAACATTATATCACTGAAAACAGTTAAGCAGACCCCAGGTGAAATATGTACAGATTGTTGTACAAGTGATTTTCTGGCAGTAGGGGATTGGACCAGGTAACCCCAAAGTATGTTTTCCAAGTACATAGCAAGATTTTGGGCTTTGTTAAACAATTGGTTAAACTTGGCTTTGGAGTTTTAGATTTGTGTCTTTGATTTTATGTTGACCAGTGATTCTTGATTTTGTTTTGTCAGAGTTACTTCTGGAGTTAAAAAGAGGGCTGGATTCTTAATTCCCCCACCCCTGAAAATTTGATTCATGGAGATAGGGATGAGATCTGAATTTTAAGTATATAGCTCAGTGGCAGTAAGTGCATTCACATTGTTTTTGCAACCATCACTGTTTTCCACCTCCAGAACTTTTTCATCATTCCACACTGCAGCTCTACCCACTCAACAGCTTGAGGTTCATCTATGTTTTAGCATGTATTTGAATTTCTTTTTTTAAAGGCTGAATAATATTATGTTTGTACACATTTTGTTTATCTATTCATCCATTGATGGACATTTGGGTTGTTTCCATCTTTGGGCTCTTGTGAATAATGCTGATATGAACATGGTATATAAATATCTGTTTGAGTCCCTGTTTTCAGTTCTTTTGGTTATTTACTCAAAAGTTGAATTACTGGATCATAATGGTAAATCTACATTTAATTTTTTGAAAAACTGCCATTCTGTTTTCTGCAGTAACTGTACCATTTTGCATTCCCACCAGCAAAGCACAAGGGTTTCAGTTTCTCCACATCGTCACTAACATAATGTCTCACCATGGTTTTGATTTGCACTTCCCAAATAATTAGTGATGTTGAGCATCTTTTTGTGTACTTATTGGCCATTTGTATATCTTTTTTGGAGAAATGTCTCTTCAAATCCTTTGCCTGTTGGGGTTCTTCATTTTGTTGTTGTTGAGTTTTAGGAGTTCTTTTTATATTCTGGATATTAATCTGTTATCAGATATGTGATTTGCAAATGTTGTCTCCCATTCTGTGGGTTTCCACTGTTGATAGTTGACACCATTTGCTAATAGTGTCCTTTGATGCACA